GGGCGGGAGAGAGGAGGAGACTTTCGCAGATGCGGGTAGAACAGGAGGATTAGAGCGGACGGGACGCGGCGAAGGTGCCGAGTGCTGCTCTGTCTCTGGTGACACTACTTAATGCTCGGGGCCGCCCTCATGATGACTGAAGGCAGATTCCAGTGCCTCTGCAGCAATGGCTATTTTCGTTCCCATCTTTTTAAAAAATATATTTTATTGATTTTTTACAGAGAGGAAGGGAGAAGGATAAAGAGTTAGAAACATTGATGAGAGAGAAACATCGATCAGCTGCCTCTGGGGATGTGCCCGCAACCAAGGCACATGCCCTTGGTTGGAATCGAACTTGGGACCCCCCAGTCTACATGCTGACACTGAGCCAAACCAGTTTAAACCATTTCATTTTCTTTTGAAAAATTAGTCTTAATTTCAATTGAACAGTCAAGCATTATACACTATTACACATTGTTCTTGAATTTTTCTACATTCATCAAATTTATTAGTATACAACTAAATTGTTCAGAGCCAGTCAGTGTTTCTCCCCGTTTTGTCCATAACAATCTTGAGTTATGTTTTTTCTTCATTGTTCAGCTACCTAGTAAGTTTCTTCTCCTAAGACTGAGGCACACTTCTGTCTTAAGAAGAAAGCTTCCTTTAACTGCTAAGTGTTTCTAAACCTGTGCTTTGGACTCCTGGAACTGCCCAGATTGGAGAAGGAGTAGAGAACTCCTGGGGTGACCTTGAAGACTCTGAGAAGGAAGATGAGGATGAAGGCGGCGATGATGAAGCCATCATTTTCAAAGGAGTGAGGATGGACGTGGGAGTGGAAGTTTCCAATACTGGAAGCCAAGGTGGGTGGTACTTTATGGCTTTTAGTATTAGACCAGAGGCCTGATGCACAAAAATCGTGCAAGAATAGGCCTTCTTTCCCCCCAGCTGTTGGTACCGGCTTCCCTCTGGCACCTGGGACCTGGGTTTTGCTCCGGCTGCCGGCAGGCACCTGGGATACAGGCTTCTCTCTGGCCCTGGCTTTGTCTGGAATGATGTCCAATCTAATTAGCATATTACCCTTTTATTATTATAGAGACCCGGTGCATGAAAATTGGTGCACTTGGGGGGGTCCCTCAGTCTGACTCGTGCCTTCTTGCAGTCCGGAACCCCAGGGGATCAGGCCTGAGCTGCTAGTCAGACTCCCTCTGGCAGCCCAGGAGCCCTCAGGACATGTGTGATTAATGGAGGGGAGGGAGCGAGCCTAAGCCATTCGTCAGCTTAGTGTTGCCTTGGTAGCAGGAGAGGCTTCTACCACTGCACTGGCCAGCCATGAGCCCAGCTTCTGCTCCACGTCCCAGGTCAGGGACACAGGCAGGCACTGTCATGTTCTGGGACAGGTTGACAGCATCATGTCTCTGGCCAGGGATGCAGGCAGGCAGCTTCACCTCAGCACCAAGTCAGACGTTAGGGCTGGGCAGGCCTGGGTGTGCCTCTGTTGGGGGCAGAAGTCCCCCTCCCTTGCCCCCCAGCTCCTGTGCATGTACAACCCGCTGACTGGTCGTGACTCAGACACTGTTAGGACCAATTAGCATACTGCCTCTGTACTATATAACGGAAATTATGTCGACATGTAAATTATGTATGGCCTGCTTCCTGCAGGTGGACCTCTTTAGCGCTGCCGCAGAGGTGGGAGAAGCTCCCGCCTCCACTGCTGCACTTGCCAGCCGTGAGCCAGCTTCTGCCTGAGCGGCATCTGCCCCTGGTGGTCAGTGTGTGTCATAGTGATCAGTCATTCTGCCATTCGGTCAATTTGCATATTAACCCTTTATTATATAGGATATATTTATAGCATATAAGCTGCTTCCACAGTGAGACCATGAATGAAGCTTTAGATTTTCCATGTAATTATATATACATCAGCCAGTCTTTATGCTGCATAGAATTCTCTAGTGTTGAATGTTACTAGTTGGTTTAGTTATTCCCTTATTGATAGACTGTTTTATTGCTACAGTGAGCATCCTTTCATGTCCCTTTATATATTTGTGAACTGTTTTTCTAAGATTAATAATACTGCTTGAATATTCAATTGCTAGCTTCAGGAGTCATATTTTCAACTGAATAATAAAGGTGGACTTAAGCCAGTTGGGAGGACAGAGCAGGTAAAGCCTTTCTAAAGCATATAAACAAAGTGAGAAACTAACTGAAAACTCAAAACATGAAGACCTGATATACCAACAGCCAAATCGGGAAAGGGATAATCCACATTATGTATCATTAATGAAGGCTCAGGAGAAAACTACAAAGTAATTCTTACATATAAATGGCCAGTTTACATATGCCAACCCTGGTATAATAAAGGAAATAAATTCAAAGCAAAAAGATAAGAGCATTTTTCGACTGCTGTATTGGGCAATATTAAAAATACTAGCATTGGCAAGGTTGTATGAGAAAATGGGTTCTTCATAGACTGTTTTTTGGAATGTAAATTGGAACAATATTCATGGAGGGGTTTGGCAGTATCGTTTGGAATGTATATATATATACCTTTTAGCCCAACCACTATATTTCTAGGTATTTCTATTACAGTGTTTATAATAGGAAGAAATGAATAATTTAGATCTCCATAATTAGCAAATTCTAAGATAAATTGTGGTACCTTATAGAGTGGTAGGAGCACTTTGAATGGCATCTTGACTTGTTTCCAAATTGGTTCTACAAGATGATATATACACTGAGTGGCCAGATTATTATGTCCTCTGAATGCATAATAACCTGGCCATTCAAGATATATAGTATATCTACACTAATAAAAGAGTAACATACTAATTGACTGTACCCTCTCGATGCCCACCAGCTAATCAGGAGTATGCAAATTAACACAACAAAGATGATGGATTAATTTGCATACACAAGCTTCTAGCAGCTAGGACCAGGGTAACTATGTAAGTGTTCCACACCACCTCAGCCATTCCGAGCCCCTGGGCAGTGTGGGAAAGCACAAAGGCAGCTTGGGGCCAGAGTGGAAAGTCGGCTCCATGTGGAGCAAAAGTGGTGCCAGAAGCCAGGGGAAGGAAGGCCCATTCTTGCACTTTGTGCATTGGGCCTCTTATATGTGTGTGTGTATATGTCTGTGTGTATATTAGGGGCCTGGTGCATGAATTTGTGCATGGTGGTGTCCGGCCAGCCTGGCCAGGGGGAGGGGACATCGTATAATAATCTGGTCACTCAGTGTAAATCTATATGTATATAGATTTCCCCTAACTTTCCTATTATGAATGTACAGAATGATGATGTAATTAAAGACACATTTGGGGAACCAAGCATGCTGTTTCAAAGCTCCAAGAAGTTACCTGAAGGAAGGAAAGAACCAAGTAGGCCTGGCAGCCCGCACTCGGAGTAACCTAGACTCTAATTGTATGAAACAGTTTTATTTATTTTTAAAAAATATATTTTTATTGATTTTTTTTTTACAGAGAGGAAGGGAGAGGGATAGAGAGCTAGAAACGTTGATGAGAGAGAAACATCGACCAGCTGCCTCTTGCACACCCCCTACCGGGGATGTGCCCGCAACCAATGTACATGCCCCTGACCAGAATCGAACCCGGGACCTTTCATTCCACAGACCGATGCTCTACCACTGAGCCAAACAGGTTTCGGCTGTATGAAACAGTTTTAGAATTGCTGCTATGGAAACCAATTTGGAAACTTCTTTTTTTTTTTTTTTTTAAAAAAAGAGATTACACCTCAGTGATACAGAGGGTTTGCTTCCAGACCTTCACAATACAGTGAGTTACTACTGTAATTTAAAAACAACTTATTGCTCAAAAATGCTAACCATCACCTGAGCCTGTAGGAGAAATAGCCTTTCTGGATACAGTGAAATCAGGTGCCTGTACTTACATTGCTTCCTGAACATTTTCTTAAAGAGGCCCCTATTGTGCTGTCAGACAGTGAAGAAGAAGAAACGATCATTTTAGAACCAGACAAGAATCCGAAGAAAATAAGGTAAGTTTCTGGTTTATTTCTGATTTTATTCTCCTCTTACCTACTGTAAACAAAGAGTTGTCTCTTTCTCATTAGAAGTCTATAAATATTAGGACCTATCTGTCGTAGTTGGCAAATGTTATATCCTACTGGAAAAAAGTAAGGCCGCTTATTTTTGTGATCCAGAAGTTAACAAGCACAGTGGGGTGAATTAGCTTCTAGTACTAGTACTGGTTGGTAAACTCTTAATTGACTTTATTCACAGAACACAGACCATCAGTGCAAAACAAGAAACAGCACCAAGTAAAACAGCAACGAAGAAGAGAAAGAAGAAGAGAACTGCTAATTAGAGCTCACAGGCTCGTATTTGTGTACAGAACTATTAAAAGGATATTTATTTAAGTGCTAGAAACCTTGGACATTTTTTACTCACAAATCCATTACAAAATCTACTAATTTCCTTTGCTTTTACATTATGCTCTTAATAAACCTTCTGGAAAACTTAACAGCTTATAAATAACGGCCACTTCAGCTGTGTCCAGGTGAAGGAAGAGTGGAGAGCACTTTCCTGGTGTGCACCAAGGACCACAACTGGTCAGCAAGCAGGTCCACTCCAGACATGCTGGTTATGCGAGCCAGCAAAAGGTCAGATGCTCAGGAAAGTGAATGTAAATTTTAGAACCCTTTCCAGTCCCCATAGGAGAAGTTTATTTTTCTGTGAATCCCTGAAGTCAAATTTTTACCTCAAATTAAATTTGACTTACAAACTAAGTTTTCCAAATCAATTTATTAATTCTTATTCTTATTATCCTGACAGCTGGCATCATTAATACTTTAACAAAACTACTCATAATCAGTCACATATCTAAGATACGATAGTACATGTACAAAAGATATACAAATTAAAAAGGAATAGACCATAATTTGTACTTGACCATAACGTTTGTATTCAGAAATGATTGTAAATTTAAAACTTTAAAAACTGTACACCATATACCTTGATTTAACTCTTAGAAAGCAAAGTCAGTCTTTCACTGTTACACATGTAGTGTCTCTGGTGGGATGAGGAGAGAAACACCATGGTACCTGTAAACGGGGGAAAAATCCACTTTCAGTCAACATTCACTGAGTGAAGGAATATACTAAGAACTCAAAAGTGCTGTTTCTACCAGAGTAAGGAATGATTACAGAACACATACACACATGCCCCCTCCTTCTCCCTCAAATACAGATCAGACACATAGCCCTGCCAAGAGAACACATACACACATGCCCCCTCCCTCTCCTCCCTCAAATACAGATCAGACACATAGCCCTGCCAAGAGAACAGCCCGAAAGAGGCTGTGCCCAATGCGTGGATCCTCTCATAAAGGCCAATGTCACAGACACCCTGGGAAGCCAGCTTTGAATAATGTTGCCTTAGCCCCTTTGGCTTAGTGGATAGAACGTTGGCCTACAGACTGAGAGGTCATGGGTTCAATTCCAGTTAAATGCATGTGCCTCAGTCCTGGCTCATGTGGGAGGCAACCAGTCAATGTCTCACATCGATGTTTCTTTCCATCTCTCCCTCTCCCTTTAACTCTCTTAAAACCATGGGGAAAATATTCTCTGGTAAAGTAAGGATTAACAAGATTTGGCTCAGTGGGTAGAATGATGGCCTATGAATTGAGGGGTCGTGGGCTTAATCCCCAGTAGGCGGCCAATCAATGATTCTCATCATTAATGATTTCTCTCTGATATCAATGAAAATTCATGAAAAAGCATTCTAATGTTCTGTCTTACTTGGAATGTTTGTACTTTTCTCTGATTGACTGCTGCGCATGCTGGGGCGCTCTGAGGTAGGTCTGGTGCAGATCCAGGAGACAGGGCTTCAGATTCTCCAAACTGTAGCCAGTCTTCTGTGCCAAGGATTCTGGCTGCAGAGGGAGCAGAATACCACCGAGTTGATTTCAGAAGCAGACAAAAGTTAACAGTTGGCAGTGAGCTGGATTGTAAATTTCAGCATTAACAGGTCTACCAGTTTTCTAAGCCGGCATTCCAAAGCTTTTATGCTGATTTGGATCGATTTTGACTACTTTCCCTGCAGTAGGTTGGGAGGCAATGCTTTCAGCACGCCTTTAAAATCCAAGCAACAACAAAGCTTTCTACCTAACAAACACATTTAAACTGTGTTAAACCGTTTTCCCGGGTCAGTCAGTCAATGGCACAGCAGTTAAGACCCAAGGCATGTGTGTGACACCGCGATACGTACCCAGCTCTGTCCCGTGACGGTGTAGAGCGCTAGGTGAAAGGCTGCTCCGGCAACAACTGAGGGCAGATACTTAAGGTAGGGGTCAGCATCTATCAGACTTAACTCTCCCAGAAACTGGAATGAAAAGTAATGTGCTTTATGATCACAGGGCTCTAGAATTCAAACCTCACATCTCTGCCTTCTGACCTGTTTCCCTGAAGACTGTAGAGCAGCCACTGGGGAAAATTCCCACAGCCTGGCCTTTCAGATATAGTCACTAGCTTAAGTGTTTCCATTCTCTTCCTCTCTTTCCTTAATAACTTTTTTTTTAATCCCCAAGGGAGAGAGAAACATCAATCGATTATGTCATGGCTAGAAATTGAACCCCCAACCTTTTGGTGTTCTGGTATACAGGACAAGATCCAAGCACCAGCCAGAACACTTTTTATAACTTTAAAAATAATCTGGCTACCATTTCCCAAGACTTTATTTCTATTATCTTTTGCCAATGGTAGTCTTCTATACTATGCCAATGGAGCGTGAATCTGTCCCTTGAATATTAAATCCCTTGACCAGAGCTGCATAATAAAACTAGGGCTTGTCCCTAATTGTGACCTAACAATCTTGCATCAACAAAATGAACTTACCATAGCTAAACTTTCAACTTTGCAGTTCGAAGGCTGCTGGTGCAGAAAGTACTGAGTGAGGAACTGATTTATAGTTGGTGCCGCTAAGTCAAAAGAAAGGACTTTCAGAACGAGGTGCTCCATTCTCAGAACTTGTTTCTTGGTGTAGGTATCATCTGTAATGTACACAAACTCTGCTACCTCTGGGGGGTATATTTCTTCAAACTTCCTACAAGAAAAAAGTTTTAAGTAATCAGTCCTAAAAGAGAAGCAAGCATTAATATCCCAATTCTGAAATCCGTCTAACAGATTACACAGAACAAATCCAATTGCCTGTTTCTGTGGAGACTGGGTAAATGCTAATTAGAAGACCCAGATCAATGAAGGACTTTGAAGATCTTTCTCCCACTGCAGTCAAAGGAAATAAATGAAAGACTTCCCAAGACAAACAATGCTCCCAAAACTTCCCAAGGACACCACGTAACTGAAAATTTAGGAAATTTTCTTAGAAAAATAAACATTTTATATTTCAATTTTAAAATTTAGTTTTATGACATTTTGCTCACATGCTAGAAAGCACTTTTGAATGGAAGGGACCACACTTTAAAACGTCGTAATCTAGTATGAAAGTGTAGCCAGTGTACATGTTCACTCAACAAGGTACCCTGGGATCCAGATCTGGAAAAGGAATGTCCTAAATGACGCAAGTTTCACCCATACCTGTCACCACTGAAGTAGGCAGACTCTCTGCCTTGTATAGTATTGTCACATGTTAAAAATCATGTTAGTTCCATGCACAGAAAGGTACTGATCCCTTCTAACCAAAGGAACCAAGCTGACTTACGAGGCCAACAGCATAGCAGCAGTGCCCACCAGCTGAAGTTTTCCTCTCAGCACAGACATGGAGGAAAGGAACCTGTCGATGTAATTCACCGCCAAGTGCAGGGTCTCATTCTGTAGTTTATATTCTTCTCCCACTTCCACTAGCCAGTCCACGAGGATGGCCCTCATGCTGTTGTTGATATCTGGCTGCTTCTTCATGTAGCCCACTTTAGGTTTACATTTAATCTGTTGAGAAAGTCATTTAGCATAGTGTTAATGCTGTGAGATTGTTCTACGCTAGCAAAGTAGTTACATGCTAGAAACCTGAGTACAGCATTACAGTAGTGCACGGGAAGTTTAAAAAGCTCACAAAAGCCCTCAATGCCATCTTACCACTGAGTAAATAACCCAGACAGTGGTCCTGAGAGCCTTTACCTCCATTTCCCTGAGGTACTTGTGAATGTCCTCATGGTAGTCTGGGACTTCATTAACACTCACTGGCTTTTCCTCTTCCAACACAATTGACATGTCCATAGCATGTGGTGACTCTGGGAGAATTCAAAAGCATGATTAAGTTCCTCGTTTAATTTTCTTTTTTAATATTTCCATTTATTTCAGAGAAGAAGGGAGAGACAATAATACATCAATGAGAATCATTGATTGGATGCCTCCTGCATGCCCCCTACTGGAGATCAGGCCACAACTCGAACGTGTGCCCTTGACCGGAATCCAACCCGGGACCCAAACGGGTTAATTTTCTACTTACTTGCCAAAAGTGATTGCCCTTGAAGGCGTCCCACACTGCCAAAGCAATTATTTCACTGATGACAAAGTACACAGACTACCTCACTCTGGTTTTAGTGCCTGTCCATTTAGTTTTAGGGTGAATTTAATTAATAAGAAAAAATGATAGGCCAATCACAGGTATTATGTTAGAGTATCACTCATCTTCCAGTGGCACAATTGTTCTATTAGGACAGGATTAAATCCAAGTTCTAAGATAACACACAGGATTTGCCCTTAAGAATTTGCAGACCCCCAAGTCAGATGCATTCAAAGCACAATCTAGGCAATAACTAGAAGCAGGGCCAACACAATATTCAACAAGTGATTCATTTTTTCCAATTTTAAATTACCTTTTGAAGCATAGAATATCATCCATTTTTGTTTTCACTTCAAGGTTCACTTTGAGGTTAAAATTTATTGCAAATTTTAAAAACACATAAATTATTTTAATCCCAAAGGAATACCTCTCACCAGCAGAACTAAAAGTGAATTGAGTTTGGATTTAGTGAGCTGTCCAGTGACTCAACAGCCCCAGGCACAGAAGCAGTATATTGTGGGCACAGCTGCTTAGATCCACTATAGATTCACTCCTCTCCTTATAGGTGGTTTATATATAAATACCTATGGTTCAACCCAACTCACAGGACAGCTTTCCTCTCTGGTGTCAGAGGATGGCTCAGACTGGTTTCACACAAACAAAATTTTAAAGCTGGAGGAGATGTTAGATATTAGGGCAGGCCAAGCTGCACTCTCACACAGCACTCTCTGGAGTGGAATGCACCAAGTGAATCTTAGGAATGAACAGAACTGAAATCTCTTCTTCCAACCCTGGGAACATCTCTAAGGTCAGGTTAAAACCAGGGTTGAGATCTAGTTAAACTGATGAGACTGGAAGGAGCACCCACTTTGGATCTGGGTCTTTTTGTCAGCCACTGGGTCATGTATTAGTTGTGAGGTCTGAAATTAATCACACCCTTTCTAAACCTGTGACATTAAACCAAACTCATAATGTAGTAAGGATAAGATAATGCCTTACGATGCAAAATATCATTAACCCAACCTATTTAATAATTATGATTACATCGATTGATACAGATGTTCATTAAAACTTACCAAAGCTATCATCCATTGGATAATCAAGAGGTACCAGTGGTTTTCTTGGTTCAGGTAATGCAATAGCTGAATTAAACGCCAGGATGTCTTCGCATTCTGTTTCTTTAGACTCGCCTGGGCTCTTCCGAGTCTCTTCTGGTTCATCCACGTGAATGGTAAATGCAGGCTGTTTGCTGTTTGCTTTCCAAGGAGGAACAATGACACGCTCATCATTTACAGGAAGATCCTTCAGAGGGGCAACCTAAGAAGAGACCAACAACTGTTGCTTTCTTTCCCTTATGGGTTTCGGCCCTGCCTCTACTCACAACTATTCCATCAGGAAAAAAAAAACTTTCCGGGGGGAAAATCCGGGCAAGGAAGTTTGGGTAGTCAAGGAAAAGAAGGGATAATTCTATTTGTCACAGGCCCGTATACAAAGGTTAGAGAGAGTCATGCTGAGTGGAAATATGAAAAAATAATCAAGGCCTCAAGAGGGATGGAGAGGCCAAAGGATGACAAGCTTAGGAAAGGGATGGCAAAAACATGTTGGTCACCACGTTCACCCTGGGGAGGAGCAACAGAGCAAATCCGGTAAAATGGCGGAATTTACCCCAAACAGCATTTTTATATCCTTTCCTAAAGTAGAGGTAACCTCCTAACTTCCCTCTATGGGGAGTCCTAGGGTGTAAAAGCTAAGAGTAAGACATGGTGGCGGGCACAGACAACACAAGTGACAGGGCTTGGTTTGACCCCATTATCTGCAGAAAAATTACCCAATGGAGAACAGACAACGGCAAACAGTGCGGGCCGGGAGTCATGGTTCCCTCCCAGGGGCCTCCCAACACGCCAGAAAACAGGGGTCGGGGCCGCAGACCCAGGCTCCCCAGAAGCCTGCGTGCCTCTCCCCCTCTCCCCGCCTAACCCCCGCAGGACCACGCTCTGTACCCGTCGCGTCTTGGGCCTCTGCGGCGGCGCTGGAGCCTGCTGGTTCCCGGCCTTCAGCACCGCCAGCCGGGCCCGGGTCCGGGGCTGGGCGGGAGAGGCCTTCTCGGGGTTGATGTTCTCCTGGTCCTCGTGGGGTGCCGTCTGCTGCAAGGTGAGCGGCGCCGAGCCCGCCTCGCGGGCCGCAGAGGAGCCCAACATCACCGCTGCGAGGCCGCGGCGGGATCCGCCTGCGGCGCCAAGCAGAGTGCACTCGCCCCCGCCGACCGGCCGCGCGGAGGAACGCTCCCCCGGCGGCGCCCGCCTCAGCCCGGCCCGCCGCCCGGGATGGCCGAGAGCCGGGGAGGCTGCGAAAGCGCAGGCACGGCCGGTGGACGGCCGGGGACACAGCGAGAACAAGCGAGGGGCCCGCTGGAGCGGCGGCTTTCAGGCGTTCAAGTATCCCGCGACTATTGAAATGGGCCAATGACAAGGGCCGCAGCCCGTGACGTCAGCGGAGCGACCGGCGCCGAGGAGTGAAGGCGGCCGCGCCCGCGGAGGGGCAGGGGCGTGGCAGGGCGTGGCGGGAGGGCAGCGCATGCGCGGGCGGGGCCTGCTGTAGGCAGGAGGCGGGCCTGCGGGAGGCGGGGCCTGCGGGAGGCGGGAGGCGGGGCCTGCTGTAGGCGGACTTTAAACCCCGCCCGCCAGGCTGGCTCCGCACGGGCCGTTGCCTGAGGCCAGTTAAACGACCCAAGGAGCCCCCGCTGCCTTCGGCCCTGGGGACTCGGGTAAGTTTCCCAGGTCCAACTGGCCTGGCCCCTGTCTGGCCTGCTAGTCTCGGACAAGTAGTCTCAGTTTTCCTCTCTGTCCCTTGCTAGCACATGCCATACACTGTGGTCAGGGTTAAATTCTGTGCGCAAGTCGTTTAACACGCTCCCGCTGCAGTGGCAGACTGTCATCTACCACTTAGGTGTTTCTTCAGCCTCAGGCTTTCACTTTTCCTAATGAAGATGCAATTAATTTGAGGTGCCACCTTGAACGACTGTTGATCTGCATAACAAATAGTAATGTTCCACAAGAAGTTTAACGAGACAGCCATTAATTCCCACGTGCCCCCAAGCTGTAACTGCCAATAAAGAGCACCCAATGACCTACATATAACTGTGTTCCATTTAGAAATGAAGGTTGTTTGTATATAGTAAAATATATGACCTTATTAAAATAAAACTCTTAGCGATAAGTGCCTTTAACAATTTTTCACATTTAATATACAGTAAACACACAACAAATATAATGGCATATAATTAAGAAGCATGGTTATTTTCTGACAAATTCATGGGTGTGCCCTTCTTAAAAACATAAATAGCTTATTTTCCATTATAATTTTTTAAAATATTTTTTATTGACTTTTTACAGAGAGGAAGGGAGAGGGATAGGGAGCTGGGAACATTGATGAGAGAGAAACATCGACCAGCTGCTTCCTGCACAACCCCTTCCAGGGATGTGCCCGCAACCAATGTACATGCCTTTGACCGGAATCGAACCTGGGACCTTTCAGTCCGGAGGCTGACGCTCTATCCATTGAGCCAAACCGGTTTTGACTCCATTATAATCTTTATGCCATTTTAAAGCAACCTTTACAATATTCCCCTCAAATATGAATAAATATGAATTAAATTCAATAAACAAAATCCCCATAGCCTTAGAGTCTTATTTCCCTTCACACATGATATAAAGGAAACGTGTGGATGCTAGTGCAAGAAACTCTAGAAGCCACTACTGTCCTATTCCCACGGGGACTCGGTAATTCTGCTGCTCACAGAGTGCCATCTCAGATCACCCTCCCTCCATCTGTGCAAGCTCTGCTCATTTCTCTGTCCCACTTTGTACCAAACCAAACCTGGTCACAATGCTCATTATCAAGCAAGAGTGAGATCAGTTGCAAATCAATCTCAACTCCTAGAAAAAATAATTGGTAGGTTATATCCACTGGCTGACAACATACATAACCAGGACACAAACCAGGCACCAAAATGTGGGTTCTAGTCCCCAGTTTACAAAATAATAGCATTCTCTCTTCATCACTTAACCTCAGTGAAAATGAGCTTTCTTATGTGATTTGAGAATATAATATATGTTGTTAAAATCAAATGAGTTAACGAATGTAAATACATTCTGAAAAATGTAAAGCAGTTTATACTTTATAGTGTGGGAGTGGCTTAAATATTAAAATACAGAGTGGGGCAAAAGTATGCATACAGTTGTTAGTATGCAATTTATTCTTGTGTTATATTTTTAATATATTTTTATTGATTTCAGAGACGAAGGGAGGAGAGATAAAATTTCAATAATGAGAGAGAGTCATTGATTAACTGCCTCCTGCACACCCGCTACTGGGGATTGAGCCTGAAACCCATGCATGTGCCCTGAGCCAGAATTAAATCATGACTTCCTGGTTCATAGGTCGACACCCAACCTCTGAGCAACAGCAGTGGGGGTCTTGTATTATTATTTATTATTACAATTTTCCATACAAACAACTGTAAACCTACTTTAGTCCACACACTATATAGTTTTATTTTTCAAATATTATTTCTTAGCATAAAATTTAAAACACCATTTGCAAAAGAATTCATTAAAATCCCTTATAATCATTCTACTCGTATCTTAAGAATAAAAATGCTATTTATTTTTAAAAGGTTGCATTCATCACTGAAACCGGTTTGGCTCAGTGGATAGAGTGTTGGTCTGTGGACTGAAAGGTCCCAGGTTCCAGCCAAAGGCATGTACCTTGGTTGCGGGCACATCCCTGGAAGGGGTTGTGCAGGAGGCAGCTGATCAATGTTTCTCTCTCATTGATGTTTCTAGCTTTCTATCCCTCTCCCTTCCTCTCTGTAAAAAATCAATTAAAAAAAAAATATATATATATATTAAAAAGGTTGCATTCATCAAAAGAAATGAAGCATTACTAAAAAAAATCATTTATCTCAAATATTTTTAGGTAATATTTAAAAGTATACTATATATAATAAAAGCCTAATATGGCAAATTGTCCCCTGGGCAGTCATTGACCGGGAATTCAATGACATACGCCGAACACAAGGGAGCAGCGTGGTACATGGTGGCCATTGGCAATATGGTGCTGGAAGTGGGCAGTAGTGGAGCCACTGCCTGCCCCGATGGACCCCGACGACAGCAGGATGGTGGAGTAGGCGAGCGGGAGGTACCAGGCCAAGGCTGGGGTGCCAGCCGGGGCTGCAGGGCACAAGCGAGGGCCCAATCTCCTCAGGCCATCCCCAGGGACCCCACCCGAGCACAGATTTTGTGTACTGGGCCTCTAGTTTGAAATAAAAGTATACACAGTTAGCTTGTAATTTTATTTTAACATTTTCATTTAAAGAAACTTCTCCAGAACTTTACCTTACTTACATTTCATGCAGCAGCATCAAAAAAAGCAATCAATGTGTTTTGGTCATAACTGTCCAGAATCTCCAGTAAAAGAGGTACTTTGGTTTTTACATTGGTGCCTTTGAACTTGAACTTATCTATAAAAAGATCGGTGATCATCCCTATAAAGAAAATGTTAAGTTCCTGTTATTGATTAGTTCTAATTAATGACACAGTATTTAATGAAAGTTGCCGAAACCGGTTTGGCTCAGTGATAGAGTGTCGGTCTGCGGACTGAAAGGTCCCAGGTTCGATTCCGGTCAAGGGCATGTACATTGGTTGCGGGCACATCCCCAGTAGGGGGTGTGCAGGAGGCAGCTTCTCTCTCATCGATGTTTCTAGCTCTCTATCCCTCTCTCTTCCTCTCTGTAAAAAAAAATCAGTAAAATATATTTTAAATAAATAAAAGGATTGGTGCTTTAAAAAAATATTTTGGAGAGATTTTAAAGCAAGTTTCAAAATATAAATCATTTGGCTAATAACTCTCTGAACAACTGGTTATGGCATTACTTCAGGCAATCAACTGCTGACCAGTTCTGAAATGCTCTTGGCATACAGGACATCACAAGTGGCTTGCTTTTCACTAAGGCTGACCGAATGACAGTGTAGAGCAAGCATGTCAAAGTCAAAGCCCACACTGAATATTTTTGTAGCCCAGCCAAAATAACAGTATGTAAGAAACGTGTTCCTGACTTAATTTTCACAATATCCGTTATACATAATCACTAATAACAAATCACTACGTTTGCTAATGACTGATGACTATAATCGTGTTGCATTCATTTCCTTTATGCGCCTTATTCACAGGCGTGCCATTTCTCTCCACTAACACCAGCAGCAAATATTTAGCAGCAGATTGCCTCATGGACTGACTTGTTTGGTATATGCAACAGGAAATATTTTGCTTTCAGAGAACAAGAAAAATTAAGTTTATCTGGATTATTACACTTATTAATTTGTGTAGTTATTCAGTGTCTGGTAAGTTACTGTTCAAGAAAAATATTCATTTTTATTAAAATGTTCTATTATTTTATGTTAACAATGACATTTATTTCAGCCCTTTGTATTCAGCATGTCTCTATGGAAATAAACATACGTTTCTATGAAAATTGAAGTTTTGTTTTTTTTTGTGGCCCGCATACACTTACACCTGGTTTATTTGGCCCATGTTAGCCTTTGAGTTTGACATGCTGGCTGTAGAGATTCAGTTCTCAACAGGTTTTTTTAGATTAAAATATTCTACCCTAGCTAGTGTGGTTAAGTGGTTAGAGTGTCAGTCTGAGCACCAAAGAGTTGCGAGGTTTGATTCCCGGTCAAGGGCTTGTACCTGGTTTGTGGGTTTGCTCCTTGCTCCCAGTATGGGACTATGTGGGAGACAACCAAACTATGTTTCCTCTCTCTCTCTCTCTCTCTCTCTCTCTCTCTCTCTCTCTCTCTCTCCTTCCCTACTTCCTTCTCTTCCACTTTCTCTGAAAAGGCAGTGGAAAAAATATCCTCGGGCAAGGATTAGCCAAATAAATAAATAAATAACATTCCATCTATATGTGGACCATTCTTGGGATTTGACCTAAAGGCAAATATTTCTAGGTTCAAGGATCTGGGCAAATTATTGCACCTTTAAGTTCTCTCATATGTAAAATGGGGCTAATTCAAGCTGTCAATCCTTTATCCAAAACCCTAGTTACAAGAGATATTTGAGAATTTTTCAGTTTAGAAAGACAATAAAAGAAATACAGCTTATATGGCAATATCTAAGGGGGTAAACAGAGCAACGT